GGGTTTGGGGTTTAGAATTTAGGGCTTGCAGGGTTTAGGATTTGTTGGTTCAGGGTTCAGGGTGTAGGGTTTAGCGCTGAGGGCTTCGGGGGATAACTAGAACAGAATAGGGCTTTTGGGTATATTGTGCAACAGCTGCTATATAGGGACTCGTTCCGACCCTTATATTACTTATATTTCATGAAGACAAAACACCCCGAAGCCATATAATATAGAAGCAATCGCATCAACATTCCCTTACATTCCCTATAAACCTCTAACCCTAAACCCTAAACCCACAAACCTCCAAACCTCTGCAGAACCCTGAAGCCCCGAAGCTCTTGTACCCCTGCAGCCTCAACTTTTCACCACCCGACCCCCGATGCCCTAAACCCTAAACCCCAAGCCCGGACAGCCTCCACAGTTCCTTTAGGGTTTAGGGTTTAGGGTTTAGGGTTTAGGGTTCGGGGTTTAGGGTTTAGGGTTTAGGGTGTAGGGTTCCTTTATTAACAAATACACCTGAAAGTACAGAGGCATCCTGCACCTCCTTTTGGTCTGTTCCTTAAATTCTAAGACGTCTTGGAGTCAAACCCATCTTTGTGGTGAACGGCTTCATTCAGGGTTTAGGGTTTAGGGTTTAGGGTTTAGGGTTTAGCCGACTATCCCAGAAACCCGCCGCCCGCCCCCTGTCAACAGCATTCGAGAGGCGTCGGGTCAGCTCGCCAGTCGGACCCCAAAGACTCGGCTTTTGGGACTGCTCTCAGGCTTGGGCTTGTGGGGGTTGAAGGTAGTTTGGGTCTCAGGGCATTTCGGGTTTAAGGTTTGTGATTTACCCTAAACCCTAAACCCTACAGACCCTCTGGGCTTTGTTCGGATTTTACGGCGTGGTGCCAGGAGGGGTCGGGTTGCAGACTTCGGCTTTGGGGTCAGTTGAGCCTGGGAGCTTCTACGCTTCTGGGCTACTATAGGAGCCTACAAAAGTACCAATACTATTTTCGTGGCTCCCTCTTATAATAATTGTAGTAGAAAATAACTCAAAACCTTGAACCCTCTTCGCCCTATCGTACTCCCATCATTCGCTTACTGTCGGATGCGCATGCTACATCACTCAGGCTTTGTCACATGCGGATAAAAACAATGCCCCATTGCCAATATTGTCTTAGTGATGACAGCAGCATTCAGCACATCATCTGGGAGTGTCCTCGTTTTGCTCGGTACTCGTACAAATTGCCCTCCTTGGTTTAGGGTTTAGGGTTTAGGAACATGCTATGATTTGCACTACGGTCATGCCGGTTGCACTCAGAAATGAATGGCACAAAGTTCAGCTGTTAGTTGCTCAGCTTAAGCGTTGAGGGCTTATAGCCTTAAGGGTTTAGGGCTTGTAGTCTTAAGGGTTTAGGGTTTCAGGCTTCAGGGTATAGGTTTGTAGGCTTTAGGGCTTCGGGCTTCAGGCTACAGGGGTTCAGAGCTTTCGGGTTTTGGAATTTGGGGCTTAGGGCGCCGGGGTTTTCGGGTGGAGGGCTTCAGGGTTTCAGGATGTCAGGGACAATGGATGGAGATGCGGTAGCAGTTTACTCCCGAAGAGCAAACGCCCAAACAAGCAAATAAAAAACACAGCACTACAATGGAACCCGCCTGTCACCGGCACAGTGTGGAATAAATGGGGTAGCACTAATCAAAATGTTGCCCTTATTTTCTCTGTTTGGACCAGGTGGACACAAAAACGAAGCAATGCAGCTGTCAAGGCGCTTTTTGTGTGTAGGATATCGAGGTTTAGGGCT